AAATTTAGATAAAATATTATACTTGTTCAGATAATTGTGTGTATAATTTGACTCGGATAGGACCAATGCACTTAATTTAACTCGGATAGGACCAATTTTGAATCATTGAGCCCGTCTCGTAGGGTTGGTCAGTTTGATTATAAGTTTTTTTTGAAATCAGAGCTTGGGATGATTTTTAATTAAAGTTTGAATGTTTCTTGTTCAAAAGAAAAGTGCCTTGAGATCTATGTCGTTTCTTAAGTTCTTTTAGAAGTTGGATATCGTATTGTTCCCGAGTTCACATGATCCGAAAGAAATTTGTGTACGAAGAGTGAAGAGAATGAAAGTGTTCTCGAGCGAGAATGATATGTTATTGCAATGTTTTTTTCCCGAAAGTTCAGAGAAGTTGATCTAACAAACAAGAACGACCGAGAGATAAAGCAAGAAAAAAATCTTAGAATTACAACGTGAGATCTATCTCCAAAGAGGCCTAAGAGAGAGAGCTTCCCTTGTTGGATATCTCTTAGTACCATTTATATATGTTCAAGAAAAATATTAAGATATGATTTGTGGCCTCTAAAATCTACCCATGTGCCTCAATGAAGAGATAGTAACATGGATATCAATAAATATATAAGTGAGGATGTGACATATATCAATCTTTGATAGTGGTTTTGACTTTTTATATTCTCTCAACTAAGGATTTTTGTAGAGGCGAGCTCGTCGAGGTCAGCTAGACAACTAATACATGACATCTAACACATCTACAACCTCGTGATTAAAGCTGCTAAAACGGCTCGTTGTTCTCAAACAGCTCGTCCTCGACTCGTTAAACAAATGAGCAAATGAGTCGAACAAAAATAAATTTTGTATTCGATATGTAAAGAAGTCGAACAAGAACAATGGTATTTTTGAACGAGTTGAACATGAGTTGAGCCCGGGCTCGGTCATGCTCAAATCATTTACCATCAATTTCCGTGCCATATGTGCGTGCGCGTAAAACTTGCAATATGGGTGTCCTTTCTAGCTAAAGTTGACGTTCCGGACGTGTCAGCGTGGTCCGTTTTGTCATCCGGGGTCATCCGGACAAACTCACCGGTTGGCAAGTCAAATCAAGTCAAAGTCGTGTGTGGTGCAGTGAGTGCGTGAATTGCGGAGTTCACGAGTAATCGAGTCACAAAGGGTTCGCCTAAGGCTGTTTGATCCTATAGGAACTCATTTTCAGGCCCTCTACATGTTGGTACTTAGCCCTTGCAACTAGAAGTTGATTGCTTGTAACCACTCATGCGAGTTCTTCACAAAAATGAGTCAAGAAGTGGCTTGAAGTTCTACG